TCACTCTTTCCCCATAGTGCAAAAGCTTGAATAACCTGAGACTGGATTGCATTTAAAAGCAAAAAAACCCATATATATTCTATAGCCAACACAGCTCAGCTTCTTAATCAATTGGCAGTGTTAAGTTGGCAAAATGTTAAGTGTTTTTAAATATAGCTGCATACAGAGCTCTTTGCAGTAGTCCAATAAAATAGCACAAAAATGGTTGTGAAAAGGTTTGTACTAGAAGGAGATAATTATGTTCTTTTCAGAAACATCAATCATATAAATTAATTTTATGTTTGTATTTAGTTAGGAGTCTCCAACTTCAAAGTGGCCAGGGGCCACAAGTTCAATGGCCTGAGCCAACAAGGGCTGCACATTGTACCATGTGCGGGCACTCTCCCACCTCACCTTCAGCTCCCTGTGGGCTCCTCTGCGGCAATGTGCTGCATGAATGCTTTAGGATGCTGGCTTCCCTGGCACAGTGGGCTGTGCTGTGCTGTACCAGGCTGCCCCATCTCCTGGGGTGGGAACGTGCACCAGAAGCCAGTGGAAGGAAGGGGAGCTCTGAGACTGCTGTTCAGCCAGGGCTTCTGTTCAGGCAGGTGGGAGCCTGGGGACACACGTGGCCTGTGGGCTGCCTGTTGGACAAGCCTGCTTTAGACTAATGTTAATGATCATTATAATTTTTAATATGTACTACCTAGAAAGTAATGTGACAGCCTAGTTTGTGCAAGTAATAAACCATCCAAAAGAGTAACAGTCACTTCTTGAAAAAAAACTTGTCTGTGATGAAACATTCTTACTCCTAGTCTTCTGTAACAATGTTTTATATACTATTGGTATACTCTTCTTGGGATTTTTTTCAGTTGAAAAGGATGGAGGAGTCTCATCAGGAAGCCACAGAAAAAGAAGTAGAGAGGATATTGGGATTGTTGCAGACCCATTTTAACAATGATCGTAAGTATGTCTGCAGTTTAGTTAAATGTTACATTAAGCAGGAAGGTGTTATGCTCCAGGAGATGCTTAATTATCCTTTTGTTTTAGAATTAGGAGAAGATGCTACAGTAGAAGCAGAAAAACTAATGGGGTCTAATTGCCAAAGTCCTTTTGTGGAGGTGGTGTGAAATTTTTTTTCTGTGACTTGTGCTTAAGATCCATATTCTTTCTCACGTGTGAGGGCCAATAGAAGAAAAGCACAGTTCTGATAAAGACTGACAAATCCTTCTCTTTAAGAAGAACTGTTACTTTGCCTTGAAGAGGTTTTAGTGGTGTGTATTTAAGAAACCAGCTTTGTGTAGGTAGTCTGTTAATTTATCAAACTGCGTTGTACTCTGTTTAAGTGCATGGCCTTGGAACTGGAATATACCCTATGGCTGTTTACAGGTGTCAAAAAACCCAGAAAACAGTGCTTTACTTTAAGCTCGATACGCCCCCACACCACGCAAAGTGCATGCCCAGGAGAGGCATTGTGTTAGTTTGACCCAAGTTTCCCAACTTCTGTATAGATCGGGCACTTCAGCGGGGCTTTTTGGCAATTTTATGTAATAGTTGACTGAATCAGTTTTAGATAACAGTGCCAGAAAGATCCACTGAAGTGCCTAATCTGTACAGATGCGGGGGAGCCGGGTTGAATTAACACTCTTCCTCTTCCGGTAAAGTGCTGTTTTTATTTTATTTTTTTAATTTTTGTCCATGTTCATCAGCACCTTTATATGCCTTTGCCTGGAATATACCTTTATCTAAACTTAATGCTTCCAGTATAAGCAGTCTAGAAACTGACTAGCTCACCTTTCGATATTCAGGTTCTCTAATAGTCCAATTAGGCTGGTAGCATTGTGTACTTAATGAGGATTGTTTTATAGTGTTGTCAGTGCTGTGACAACCTTGGAACTGACTGGCTTCCTTTATGGCTTCAAATCCTCAGTTTGGGGTCTGCAGTTAGAAACTTTGAAATTTAATGGAAACTGGTCAGTTGCATGGCTACTACCTCCTTTCTTTTTAAGATTTCTAATAGTCCTTTGACAGCTGCTTTTACTTCATTGTTTCTGGTGCAGTTAACTATATTACAAATAAGTTAAAAACTAGACAGTGGAGTTGGATTTAAGTCGATTTTGCACTTAACTGATATCCAGTATCGTTACCATATAAACAGTGGGATGAATTAGGTCTAGCTATATGCTGCGCAATTATGCACTTATGCGGCGTGCAATTTAAGTGGAGTACTGTATAGTTAATTTTTTACTTTTGGTTAAAATCATGGACAGTTGTAGCATGACAGTTTTCACAATGTGTGAATATCTTTGATTTCCATTCTTTCTTGCAATAGATTTGTACACTGGACGATGGCACTGGACAATGATCCCCTGTTGCTTAGTTCCATAGAAGAGATCCTTTCTCCTATTTAAGCTCTGCCAACTTTCTTTTTCCAGTTGATTTTGAGGCAGTATTGCCGCTTGTTCAGACTTCAATAAGAGTAGATTGGGGGATTGTTTGACAGCTTTAATTTTTTTTTGATCTCTGAAGGCAGATTTGTGTGATTGCTTTTCAGCCCTGAGCATACTTTTTCTACAGTCCCGTTTGATCACTTGTCTCTTTAGATTTATGTGTGTAACTGTTAGTAAGAAAATAGATGTAATTTGAATATACTAGTGATGCTCAGTTTTAGATCTCTGTTTTGTGTGACCCAGACATTGTACATAAATGTCTCTGTGCTGGGTAGAAAACAGGGTATAGGTGACTGTTGGTTTAAACTAAGCAGGTTGGATAGGCTAGAAATGAAGGTGGTAGTCAGGATGTGGCAAAGATTATAGTTGTCTCTGAAAGTTTTGATCCATCAGTTTACATTCAGATGTATACGTTAGGTTGTATTGGATTTGTCAAATAAAATTGGATTTTATTTTTAGAAACTTATATAGTATCAGTAACAAGGGTTGGTTTTTACAGCTTTTATAGACTGTTGCAACATTTTCTTTCGTGCACTTATCTAAATCCAGTCTTTAGTCACTTCAGGTTTAGAGTTACTTGGTTTACCAAAGCTTCAGTCTACTCTGAAATTGAGGCCAATGTAGGTCTCAGTTCCTTACTTGTTAAGGAAAGTGTCTTGCCATGTAACAAAAGTGCTTTGTAATTTGTATTGTCTGCCTGTTCTGTGGTGACAGTTTAGGGAGGCAATTCAGACCTATAAAGCCATAAGTAACTTGGGTCTTGTTGTTCCACACCTAAGACCATGCCATAGGTCCAGCCAGCAGGAGTGCTGAAGTTGGAGTTAAATGGAGGCCCTTCAGTTTCTGAATTTACTTTTCTTACTTTACTCTGGAATGGCATGAATTTATTGTCCATTAGAATACACTAAAAGTCCTCCTAAATGAAGTAGCATTCATGAGGTGTTGGATTTTGTCAGGGTTTGGAACCTGGGGTTTGTCAAAACAGAGAGGAACATTTATTTTTTTTCCTGCCAGATTTTGATGTTCCTGGACAGTTTGCTTAGTAGCCTGTCACTGTGGTTGGTCTTTTTCCTTGTTCCTGTTTTTGTTTTTTGCTTGTTTGTATTTTTGTCTTATATTCAGTTTGTTGGGTTATCTTAAAACAGGAACAGGTGTCTGTTTTAGTTGGGTTGAGCAATTTTGTTTTTCTTTTATTCTAAATGTGTGTTTTTCATATTGAGTAAATATGCTGTTTGTGAATGCTGGCTGCTCATGATGTATTACTGTATTTGTAGAAAAGAATGCCATTTTAGCATTTCTGACCTATAATAACGATGATAATGATAATTGTTGTTGTTAATCATCTGCCTGACTTCCCTGGCCACATGGCCCCCATGTTTTTAGAAGGTAGAAATCCCACCCCCCCCCGGGTCATGGCCAAGAGTTGCCTTTTTCATGAACACACCAAGCTGCAAAATGGCTACCAGCTTCTCTGCCCCTTCCAGAAAGTCCCAGAATAGCAGAGTTCTCTATATGAAAGCAGGAAAAAGTCCATGCTGGATCACCGATTCTTCAATAAATTGACTATTGCAGATTGTTAATGAGAGAAACAAAGCATTCTTATCCTAGAAGATACCTCTGATCCCTGTGGAGTGAGAACACTGTTGTTTGAACTGTAATGTTTGACAACAACTAAAATGAAACCATAATAATTTGAACTTTACTTCCATTCATGTGTGCGAAAGTAGTAGAAAGAGGGGGAAAAATATCTCTTATAAAATCATCAGATTGCACATTTATTTGTATTTTCAAATTAACAAAACTTTTTTCCTAGAATTCATATCTTTTAGGGATTTAAGCCCTGCATGCATTATGTACTTTTGAAAAAAATTGTGTTCAAAGCTCTGTTAGTTTATATATATATATATATATCAACAGTTTTTTGATAACTACTGTTTTCTTTTGTTTCTAGCTGAAATACCTATTTCCTTCTTTGATTTTGTGATTGATCCAGACTCTTTTGCACGTACTGTGGAAAACATCTTTCACGTGTCCTTCATTATAAGGGTAAGGAGCAATATCTTGAAATTTTATCTTGTATGCAAGAATGATATCACTAAGTCAGGTTCTTATATATTTTTTAGTTGCATCATTCTTTTGCTGCAAACTAACTTGATATCTTTCTAAGATAAGTTAACTCACTTCGTAATAAAAAAGGGAATATAGTTGACCTCAGCCACTGAGACTCCAGCAAAGCATTTGATGTCACCTGGGAAATGTATTAGTTAAATTTGGAAAGGTAGGGGTTAGTATAGAAAATAAGATAGATAGAAATGGCTAAAGTATATAATTGGTGGTGAGGATAAAGAAAGTGTTTGGTTTAAATGGGGTTATTAATTGTGTTC